GATCTCCCCAGTAAGGACGGCGCGTACGCTGCTGCAGCTGAGAGAGCAGCAGATGTTGGCGCCGTGTTCCTACGCCTCCTTGCGAAGCTGGAAGCTGCCAAGAGCCAGGAGGCTCTGGGCGTCCCCGTGGTGGGCCCAATCCTACGCCGCGTGATGGGGCCCATCTACATCTTTGCTGTAACGCACGTTGTGGAGAGGCCCTGGACAAGCACAAAGTCTCAGTCGGTGGCACAGGAGCTGCTGGCCTTGCTGGTTCAGGCTGCAGGCTGTGGGTCGGTGGCTGAATTCCTTCGGGGAAAGAATGAAGATGAGGAAGGAAGATTTGCAGCAGTGATGGGGCTCCTGAAACAGGAGTTAACCAAGTGAGTAGGAAAGGGAGGGCAGCAATGGAGAGGGTGGTGTGTTTGGCTGGTCTCTACGTAGAAAATACTGGAAACTTTTGGGAAACAGTGTGAGCTCAGGCATTACAAGACTGTGGTAAATACGGGGCCAAGAGCTTTACAAATACCCCAGTAATGGAAGAAGGAGGGGGGAGTCAGTTGGAGCTTACTGCCAGTTGAGAGGCCCAGAGGCAGAGGAAATGAGCATTCATTAGTTCCGGTGTGCACTGAGTTTATGTTTGTATTTCCAGAGACACTTGGAAGCGTAACCCCGCCACAAAGTTTGTGTTCTCCTGGACGCTGCCTCATGTCACCCGGCCCTGGCTTAGCCACTACCTGGAGCGTGTCCTCCCGCCATCACTGCTCATCTCAGATGACTACCGTGAGGAGAATAAAATCCTGGGTGTGCGCTGCCTGCATCATATCATTCTCAACGTGGTAAGGGATTTTAGAAATGAGATCCCTTTCTGGGTGCTGTTTGAAGGAAGGCTGGGTTGGCTGCCTGTTACTCTTACACCTATTACACTAAGCAAAGAATCACTCTGCCACCTGCTGATGTGTATCGGCCTGACAATAGTTTGCAGAGCAGAGTATTAATGTAATTCCAGTGGAACTGCAAAACAGCAGGTGGGGGAGGCAAAGGAAAGTGGCTGCTCCTGCGCACGGCAGGGTTTAACCTGCATTCATTATGGCATCTGTTCTCGCTTTCTTGTAAGCGCTGTTCCTAATGGGCAGTACGCGTGAGGGTTGTCAGACCTGGGTTTGTGAAGGCTGTTCTCTTTTTATTAGGTTAAGCGGGTGCTGAATGTAACGCACAGGAATAGTGTTCTGTTCTCTCTTGTTGCAGCCGGCTGCTGATCTGTGCCAGTTCAACAGGGCTGAGGTTGTGTACCATGCCCTTTACAACCATCTCTATTCACGAGAGGCCCCTCTCATCCAGGTAGGACAGCAGAACTTCATTTTAATCTGCCTTGTGGGAGCCCCACGAGGGATAGTCAGCCTGTGGCATGAGGAGGCAGAACCCGTTTCCTCACAGACAGTCCAGTCAGGCTGTTACTAGCTGATGCGTGTGGCCAAGAGACAAAGTAACTCGATAGACTTCAGGAAAATCTCAAAGAGGAGGGAAGATCTCTTGCCTCCTGTCCCCTTCAAGGCAGCAGCCTTGCTGAAGAGGGCTGGTAACAGGTAGCAGAAGTTGGGTCTGTCAGGTGAACTGCAGCAGCTGTGAGTGGTCAGCAGGGTTGGAAGTTACTGGTATTTTGGAGAGAAACACCAGCGGGGTTGCCCAGACTTACTGTCTCGCACCAAACCAGGCTGTACTGCTGTGCCTGCTGGACTTGCTGCTGATCCTGGAGAGAGCCCAGCGGCAGCAGAAGCAGGCCAGACCAACCGCCCCCTGCGATGAGGTGCTGCAGCTGGTTCTGACCCACATGGAGGCAGAGCATCGCCTTGCGCTGCGGCGGGTGTATGCCAGGACCCTGCCTGCCTTTGTGCAGAGGTGAGAGCAGCAAGCACAGCCCTGCAGGGACTTGCTTTGGCCTCGGTCTATATCTCCCTTCTCAGTGTGGGTATCTTCGTGTGGGCAGGCTTGGCATCCTGATAGTGCGGCACCTGAAGAGGCTGGAGCGAGTTATCCTGGGGTATCTGGAAGTCTGTGATGGCCCGGAGGAGGAAGCCCGACTGGGAATACTGGAGACACTGCAATGCACCATAGAGCATGCTTGGCCCAGGTACTGGTTTGGGGGTGAAAAGACACTGTAGAAAGCGTATCCTGAATGCTGTCCCTGTGTCAGAGCCAAAGTTGTTGCTGCTGGAGTAAAAGGCCTTGAAATCTTAAGGGAGAAATCTGTCACAGGGAGAAATCGCTGGCATTACTGCTTTGCTGAAAAACCTGGCCCAAGAATTAAGCTGGGTCCTCATTTTGATCTGACTTCTGCCTGTTCTAGAAGCATCAACTTGGCTAAAAACTAAATCTACGTTCTCTGCATGGCAGAAGTGTGGAGTAAGCCCTGTGCTGCAGCTTGGGCTGCCCACTGAGAGGCAT